TATAATTTCATCATGTTATCCAATATATATATATAATAAGGAATCATGATTTTTATTATTATACTTTACTATAGATATCATCATATTCTAAGTTTATCAACAAATACCTTATATATTAAGGGTCACTTTCTCATTACAAACAACATATAATTAGAAAAGCCAAGAAACAAATCTTTTCAAAAATATTTAGGCATGTACATGTGGTATATGTACATCAATTAATGAAAATCATGTGTACAACTAAAAATATTTATTTTAAACATTGGATAACTAATTAGAACTAAAAAAATGAAAAAGTACAACTTGCCAAAACGAGTACAACTTGTAACTTTGGTACAACTAGTGCATTTTGGCGGCTACACATGTGTCTTTTGGCGGCTACACGTGTCTAATGTGGATCACGTGTTTGTTGTGTTTGGTCCTTTTTTATTTTTATTTTTATTTTTATTTTTTATTTTTATTCTTCCGATTTTTTTAAAAAAATTCAATTTTCAAATTGAAATTGAAAGAGGGAATTGGGAATCGGGTATATCTAGGGTTTATTGTCTCTCCTCTCTCTCGACTCTTCACTTCTTCTCCTTCTTCCTTTCTGGTTTGCGATTTCGTCTTTTTATTTTGCCTTAGCGGATTCTGAGAATGAGTTGCGAATCTGGAGCATCGGGAATCATATGTGGTAATTCTTCCAACCGACGAAGGTTCCCTGTAATTCCCAAAAAGTGTCATTGTGGGTCACCAATAGTTGACATAATCTCTCGATCCATACCAAATCCGTGTCGTCGCTACTACCGGTGTGAATATGCATATGATAGAAGGGTAAATCTGTTTTATCACTATTGTATTTGCGATTTAGTTACCAACTTTTCCTTCTAATTTTTTTTTTTGTAGCTTGTGAACGATGGACATGTCTTTAAGTGGGTTGATGAAGCACTGGTGGATGAGGTAGAACAATTAGATTTTCAAGTTGGTGTTTTAGAGGAAGAAGTTACTCTTATGAAAATAGAAAGGATGAAAGATATGAAGGAAATCAAGAAAATGAGTGTACTCGTTTTCTGTGGTTGTCTTCTTCTGATAGGGCTGGGAATATGGTACAATCAAGTGTACCTTGTTCTTCCTAGTACAACTAAGTATAACTTGTTCTTCGTAGTTGGACAACTAAGTATAAAACTACTTGGTTGATTTCCTTGGTTTGATTGTAACTTCCCCCTTTCCTTATTGGCCATAAGAAAGAATGGCTCTACGGATGGTGCTTTTTTCCCTTGCTTCTTCTTCCCTATGATCACACTACACAAGAAGTAGAGGACCGCCATCTTCACTCGATCTGGAGAAGCTCTCTTCATCGATAAAAGTTTTGCTTGGACATCATCATATCTTATTGTTGTGCCAACACCAAAATGCTTACCAACAAACTCATTACTGCCCAGAGTTTCCATGTCCCGGGGATACTCATGGCAGTATAAGCCAGAAATCTTTAAGAGAATATCTGATGGGAGTACCATTTACTATGAACCAACATTCTTTTTTCTTCTCTATAGACGCCGTCCGGAGAAGCAACATCCACATACCCATCAATTTGTGATTGGCATCATTCGGCATATGGAAGAAGTATTTGAACTGTGGGTGTCCTAGGAACCAGTCCAACTCATGGGACTTAAGGTGAGCTCTCAAGAAGTCCACTGTCCTTGTGATATAACACTTAGCAGATAGGTTGAATGGCTTCATGTACTCGTATCTATTGAAGTACATGTTCACCGGTTGCATTACTTCTGTTCCCTCCTCGGATTCCTCCTCGGACTCCTGCAAAACA